ACAACCAAATGGTTCCTATCGAGTACGATGGATGCGAGGGGTGCTAATATCTTCCCTTCGCATAACCGGCTTATGAACCTATTCTTGGTTGCGAGACCATCTTATCCGTTCTTTTCTTAAGGTTTTCTCGATATTTTCCTTTCCCCTCATGGGATAAATAAAGTTCGGTGGCGACTCTTCTGTCCTTTCTTTTCGCCTCCCCGTCGTTGCATTTTTCGAGTAGCGACATCTACGAAGGAAACATGATATTAAGTATTGTATGGTTCATATGTCATGCTACTCATGGATAAAAATCGATCTTCTCCACCTCTTACAGATAAATATCACAAACTAAACAATTCTTTTGCTGAGAGATACTAAAAATTCTGGAGAATCTGAATTAAAGTGGTGCATTCCCTACGTAGGTGTCAACCCAAAAAGAGGTGTGGAGACCATAACCAACTTTCCTACTAATACTGTTCTTAAACCAATTAGAACTTTATTTGCTTTTCAAAGAGAATAAATTTTGAATTTGTGTTCAAAAGAGGATGTCAGTTATTTCTGACCTCATCACTTATATAGCCCAAAACCTAAGTTCTAAAACATAACTGAAACACAAACTTAAACAAAGTATAAAAAAAACTAGAAGAAGAAAAATACAAAATCTAGAACAAAATTCACTTAGCATAAAATTCAAGAATCCACACCTCTTTTTGGGTATGTCAAATTTGGCCTGCATTAATTTAATGGAGTAATACTTGTAGATTTAGTTATCAAACTCTGGAAACATCTTTTTACAGAGTTAAGTTACAAACTTACAATAGAAATACATAAATATGACAAAGACTAGGAAAGGGAAAATGATCTCTTAGTGAATTGCATTATAAATGAATAAAATAAAAAGTTTGAGTACAAAATTTGCAGCATGAAAATATCTGCTCTATCATAAGATTGTTGTAAATCAGAAAAGATCACTATTCAATAGATCATTAAAATTCCAGTAAATCTAAAACCTATAATGTAATAATGTCTTTATACCTTAAACCTCTCTTATACAACGCTGGAGCTAAACACGTGTAGGCCTAACAAAGTATTGTAATGCCCCTTCTCAATTTCTTCTTCCTTTACTTGATGAAGAATAAGTGTCTCAATAATCAAGTCTTCCTAATCAATACCATCAACTACCACTCCTCTTCTCTTCTTCCTTTTCTCATTGCAAGTGCTATCTAAAATGCCAAGAGGTACAGTTTCATCAAGATCAGCATTTAATGGATGAGTTATTCTTTTTATCCGCTTCCATGCAGCATCAATCCTCTCTCGCCTTATTTTACATTTAAATGGACCATTAACAAATGAAGGTGGCATGGTTTCCGCCCCAATATCCTTCTCTAGTAACTTTCTCAGTATAAGCTTTCTGCTCAGTTATGATTCTCAATCCCACCACTCTCTACACTCGTGAAAATCAAATTCAACCCTTCTCCGTTTCTGAACATTTGCAGTCCTTGACAACATAGCACCACGATTCTCATTTAAAAACTTCTCATAAATCAGGGATAAATATTCAGGTGAAATCTGTGACGTATCAAAATCCCTGATGCCTTCTCTATCTGCATTACTTGGCAATGAAAGATATTGAGAATCTTTTCGCGAAACTAATCCATCAACCCCATATTCATATCCATTCTCTTGTGCCAAGCACTCGACAACCACTTCTTCCAAATCAAACCTAGTCTGATCAAGATTCTTCCTTTTCTCAACAGGTTTTGACATAGACTTCTTCTCCATATACTGAATCACAAAAGGAGAACTCTTAACAATATTCTTCTTAGTTATATCTTTTCCCCAAGGCAACACTTGTGCAATTTTCACAAGCGTCTCAAAAAGCTCTTTATACCTAGTTCTACAAGTGGAAACAACTACATGAACCTCCTTCGCCAAATCTTCCATATGAACTTCAACTTGGTTAATTTCAGCAACCAAAACCAAAATCGCAACAACCAAAGGAAGTGGCCGAAGACCGGTACTCAAAAACAACTTCATCGCATATTGCAACAAAAACACTCCCTATTTCTTCATTTTATCAATCAAACTCCTATCAACATCATCAAAACAACAAGAGCTATTAATAGTTCTTTCCAACGAATACACAATATCAAACTTAAGAAAATCACTTCCTCTAAAATCCAAAAAATAATAACCCTAAGAATCATTTTCCCAAGCTCATAAACATCACAAGCAAGAGCATTAACAATTTCTGCCATAGGTAAAGGACGATCACTTTTCCGCATTACGACATAACAACAGGCCCCAATCAAAACTCGAAACCAGTTCCCTTGACCGAATTCACCGTCGGTGATATCAGATATCATGGATTTAATTTCAATAGTTTTGGAACATAACCCTAACCTATTAGTGAATTCTTCAATGGAATTACAAGCGGATAATAATTTTCTGCCTTTCTAAGAGTAAAAGTTACCTGAACCTGAGGTTCCGATGTGGACGAAGGTGCCTTGTGGACCGTTGATGCCGCCGGTGAAGGATTCATATTGATCGAAGGGTTGAACAGCGCCGCAGGAGGCACATAACAATCCCCCGGTGTCGTCGTCGCGTGAAAGAAAGGTGCTGCTGCAGCTGGTGCAAAGATGAGAGGTAGACATGGAATTGGGAATAAAAATTAAAGCTTTTGATCAATTTCAATGGCGATAAAAAAATTCTAGCGTGAATGTCCTGATACTGAAAGTGGAGTTATAATTTCTGTTTTTGGTTCAACGAAAACCCAGTGATGCAATATTCCCGTAGTTCTGTTACACTAACTGTTGAGAAGCTCAAAATTTGTCACTCCTAATCGACAGTACATGTACTACTCCCTCCTCTTACATACTTCATAAAAAAGAAAAAAGAATATATGTATTAAAAAAAGTTTAATATCGATGAAGCTAATGATTTTATTTTAGTTTTTTTAATTTATTAAAAGAAATTCTTTGATATTCATGAGTTTAAGTAGGAGTATTTTAGTGCAAATTCTTTTAAAAGTTTAATTTATTTTAAAATAAAATAAAGAAGTGATACTGGTATTAAATTAGAGTGTTTGATTGGTTAATAGAATGAATACTCAATTAAATTCAAAGGTATTAAAGGATTTACCATTACCACGTAAAAATACAAAAATATCTTTAAATTTCGTAGACGCGTCTTCGAATGTATCCTAAGTGAATAGAATTACGACAATGAGAAAAACTGCAGAGATGCATATTTGTGCATATTTCAAAGATATATTTCCGAACTGTATTTGTTCAAAAATACGTTAGAACCTCAGTCTTAAGACCTTACCTGACCTTGTGAACCTCTGTTCGACCCCCAGCGGGGGCGTTTTTGTGTTATTTTCATTTTATTTCTTTGTTTTGATATTTTATTTTCCTTTTCCACTTGTTTAAAACGCGTGAGAGTGATCTGGTTGGTTATGTGCTATGCTTGCAGTCCCAAGGTCGAGGGTTCAACTCTTGGTGGGAGCATTTCCTAATTTTTAATACTTGCCTTCTTTTTAATTATTTTATTTTATTTCCTTCTTTGCTTTTCTTGTTTTTATTTTATTATTTTAATGTGTTTTGTTTTATTTTCCATCCTTTTATTTTATTTTATTTTCCTTTTTATTTTATTATTTTTATTTTGAATCTACAAATTTATTTTCTTTCTCTTTTCACTTGTGAGTAAATTATTTATGCCACACCTTTTTTGAAATCCTCCATCCAACAAATTTGATGAGGGGATCATTCTGGTTTCCTCTAGGCAATTGGAATTCATTTTTGTTGTTATGAACTATTTCTCTAAATAGATTGAGACAATGTCGGTATCGAAGATAACTGATTGGGTGTTTCTACTAGAAGAAACATTTACAAATTTGAGTCTCCAATAATGAAACTCAACTCTCCAACTCAACAATAAGAGAATCTTACCATAATTTGGAAATCCAAACCAATTTGTCTCGATGAAACATCCTTAAGCCAATGACTCAAGTCGAATCTTTCAACAAAATTGTCCTTTATAACATTAAGAAAAAACTAAAAAAGCCAAAGGGCATATGGTCAGAACGACTATGAGGTATAATTTAAATCTCTACGCTTATTGGAACAAAATATTATTTTCACGACAAGCCTTTATTTAATTAGCATTTTGTTACTGAGTTATAGGTTTTATGGTCGTAGCACATGATACTCCAATTCTCTACGAAGGAAACACGGTATCAAGTATTGTATGGTTCATATGTCATGCTACTCATGGATAAAGATCGATCTTCTCCACCTCTTACATATCAATCTCACAAACTAAACAATTCTTTTGTTGAGAGATACTAAATTTTTTGGAGAATTTGAATTAAAGTGGTGCATTCCCTACCTACATGTCAACCCAAAAAGAGGTGTGGATACCATAACCAACTTTCCTACTAATACCGTTCTTAAACCAATTAGAACTTCATTTGCTTTTCAAAGAGAATAAATTTTGAATTTGTGTTCAAAAGAGGATGTCAGTTATTTCTGACCTCATCACTTATATAGCCCAAAACCTAAGTTCTAAAACATAACTGAAACACAAACTTAAACAAAGTATAAGAAAAACTAGAAGAAGAAAAATGCAAAATCTAGAACAAAATTCACTCAGCATAGAATTCAAGAATCCACACCTCTTTTTGGGTATGTCAAATCTGGTCTGTATTAATTTAATGGAGTAATACTTGTAGATTTAGTTATCAAACTCTGGAAACATCTTTTTACAGAGTTAAGTTACAAACTTACAATAGAAATACATAAATATGACAAAGAGGAGGAAAGGGAAAATGATCTCTTAGTAACTTGCATTACAAATGAATAAAAGAAAAAGTTTTAGTATAAAATTTGCAGCATGAAAATATCTGCTCTATCATAAGATTGTTGTAAATCAGAAAAGATCACTATTCAATAGATCATTAAAATGCCAGTAAATCTGAAACCTATAATGTAATAATGTCTTTATACCTTAAACCTCTCTTATACAACGCTGGAATTAAACACGTGTAGGCCTAATAAAGTATTGTAATGCCCCTTCTCAAATTCTTCTTCCTTTACTTGATGAATAATAAGTGTCTCAATAATCAAGTCTTCCCAATCAATACCATCAACTACCACTCCTCTTCTCTTCTTTCTTTTCTCATTGCAAGTGCTATCTAAAATGGCAAGAGGTACAGTTTCATCAAGATCAACATTTAATGGATGAGTTATTCTTTTTATCCGCTTCCTTGCAGCATCAATCCTCTCTCGCCTTATTTTACATTTCAATTGACCATTAACAAATGATGGTGGCATGGTTTCCGCCTCAATATCCTTCTGTAGTAACTTTCTCAGTATAAGCTTTCTGCTTAGTTCTGATTCTCCATCCCACCACTCTCTACACTCGTGAAAATCAAATTCAACCCTTCTCTGTTTCTAAACATTGGCAGTCCTTGACAACATAGCATCATGATTCTCATATAAAAACTTCTCATAAAATAGGGATAAACATTCAGGTGAAATCTGTGACGTATCAATATCCCTGATGCCTTCTCTATTCGTATTACTTAGTAATGAAAGATACTGAGAATCTTTTCGCGAAACCCATCAACTCCATATTCATATCCATTCTCTTGTGCCAAGCACTCGGCCACCACTTCTTCCAAATCAAACCTAGTCTGATCAAGATTCTTCCTCTTCTCAACAGGTTTTAACATTGACTCCATATACTGAATCACAAAAGGATCATTCTTAACAATATTCTTCTTAGTTATATCTTTTCCCCAGGGCAACACTTGTGCAATTTTCTTAAGCGTCTCAAGAAGCTCTTTATACCTAGTGCTACAAGTGGAAACAACAACATGAACCTCCTTCGCCAAATCTTCCATACGAACTTCAACTTGGTTAATTTCAGCAACAAAAACCAAAATCGCAACAACCAAAGGAAGTGGCCGACGTCCCGTACTCACAAAAAACTTCACCGCACATTGCAACAAAAACACTCCCTGTTTCTTCATTTTATCAATCAAACTCCTATCAACATCATCAAAACAACAAGAGCTATTAATAGACCTTTCCAACGAATACACAATATCAAACTCAGGAAAATCACTACCTCTCAAATCCAAAAAATCAATAACCCTAAGAATCATTTTCCCAAGCTCATAAACATCACAAGCAAGAGCATTAGCAATTTCCGCCATAGGTAAAGGATGATCACTCTTCCGCATTACGACATAACAAGGCCCCAATCAAAACTTGAAACTAGTTCCCTTGACCGAATCATCGTCGGTGATATTAGAAATCATGGATTTAATTTCAATAGTTTTGGAACATAACCCTAACCTATTAGTGAATTCTTCCATGGAATTACGAGTGGATAATAATTTTCTGTCTTTGTAAGAGTAAAAGTTACCTGAACCTGAGGTTCCGATGTGGACGAAGGTGCCTTGTGGACGGTTGATTCCGCCGGTGAAGGATTCGTATCGATCGAAGGGTTGAACGGCGCCGCAAGAGGCACAGAACAATCCCCCGGTATCGTCTTCGCGTGAAAGAGAGGTACTGCTACAGCTGGTGCAGAGATGAGAGGTAGACCTGGAATTGGGAATAAAAATTAAAGCTTTTGATCAATTTCAATGGCGATAACGAAATTCTAGCGTGAATGTGACGATACTAAGGGTCTGTTTGGTTCAAATGAGGGGGAGGGGATGAGAGGGATTTTAATGAAGGGGAGGGGAGGGGAGGGGAGGTGAAGGAATTTTTCAATCAAATAAGTGTTTGGTTCAAAAGAGAGGAGGGGAGGGATTTTAATTAAAAATGTGTTTGGTTCAGAAGGGGAGGGGAGGGGTTTTATTAATAATTTACATTTTTATCCTTATGATCTTATATAAGTCATATGATATTAAAATGTGAAAAATTCATGCGTATTTTTGTTGGTAATAAAATTTCTAATATTGAGTGATTAAAAAAATATTTATTTGTCACATAAAGTTAAAAAATTGAGTACAATCGATTCGACTTATAACTTTTCAACATAAATTAAACTATATGCCAATAACATCGTTTAAATTGTGATGAATTATATAACAAAACAAATATATAAAATAACTTATTACTAAATATTAATGGTTCAAAATATTTAATAAAATGAATAAACAAAAATAAATAAAATGATATGGTTTACAATTTGATATAAAAGAAAATATGATAGAGTACATAACAAAATTAAAAGAAAAAAATGAATATAACAAAACATAATTTTTTTTATAAAAAAAAGACAATGGTTATGATTTATATTAATTATAAAAATTATAAAATAATTTGAAAGTGGAGAACAATTATAATAAGTTGATGAAAACAATCGAGAAAAAACAGTAACACAAAAGATAACAAATAATTTTGAAATAATAAAATTAAACTGAGGATATTTTAGTAAATATAATATTTTTTAAATATCAAAACTCATATTCCCTCCCCTCCCCTCCAAATCCCCCCAATTCGGAGGGAACCAAAAAGTGTGTTTTGGAGGGATTTTGCTCCCCTCCCCTCCCCTCCCCTCCCCTCCATCTACCCCGAACCAAACACACCCTAAAAGTGGAGTTATAGTTTCTGTTTTTGGTTCAACGAAAACCCAGTGATGCAATATACCCTAATTATGTTACACCAACTGTTGAGAAGCTCAAAAGTTGTAACTCCTAATCGACAGTACATGTACTACTCCCTCCTCTTACATACTTCATAAAAAAGAAAAAAATATATATATGTATTTAAAAAAGTTTAATATCGATGAAGCTAATGATTTTATTTTAGTTTTTTTAATTTATTAAAAGAAATTCTTTGATATTCATGAGTTTAAGTAAGAGTATTTTAGTGCAAATTCTTTTAAAAGTTTAATTTATTTTAAAATAAAATAAAGAAGTGATAGTGGTATTAAATTAGAGTGTTTGATTGGTTAATAGAATGAATACTCAATTAAATTCAAAGGTATTAAAGGATTTACCAATACCACGTAAAAATACAAAAGTATCTTTAAATTTCGTAGACGCGTCTTCGAATGTATCCTAAGTGAATAGAATTACGACAATGAGAAAAACTGCAGAGATGCATCTTCGTGCATATTTCAAAGATATATTTCTGAACTGTATTTGTTCAAAAATACGTTAGAACGTCAGTCTTAAGACCTTGCCAGACCTTGTGAACCTCTGTTCGACCCCCAGCGGGGGCGTTTTTGTGTTATTTTCATTTTATTTCTTTGTTTTGATATTTTATTAACCTTTTCCACTTGTTTAATATGTGTGAGAGTGATCTGGTTGGTTATGTAATGTGCTTGCAGTCCCAAGGTCTACGGCTCAACTCTTGGTGGGAGCATTTCCTAATTTTAAACACTTGCCTTCTTTTTATTTATTTTATTTTATTTCCTTCGTTTCTTTTCTTGTTTTTATTTTATTTATCTAAAATTAGTTTTAAATATTATAAAAAATTTAAAAAACTTATTTTATTATTTTAATGTGTTTTGTTTTATTTTCCATCCTTTTATTTTATTTTATTTTCCTTTTTATTTTATTATTTTTATTTTGAATCTACAAATTTATTTTCTTTCTCTTTTCACTTGTGAGTGAATTATTTATGTCACACCTTTTTTGAAATACTCCATCCAACAAATTTGATGTGGGGATCATTCTGGTTTCCTCTAGGCAATTGGAACTCATTTTTGTTGTTATGAACTATTTCGCTAAATAGATTGAGATAATGCCAGTATCGAAGATCACTGATTGAGTGTTTCTACTAGAAGAAACATTTACAAATTTGATTCTTCAATAATGAAACTCAACTCTCCAACTCAACAATAAGAGAATCTTGCCATAATTTGGAAATCCAAACCAATTTGTCTCGATGAAACATCCTTAAGCCAAGGAATCAAGTCGAATCTTCCAACAAAATCGTCCTTTATAACATTAAGAAAAAACTAAAAAAGCCAAAGGGCATATGGTCAGAACGACTATGAGGTATAATTTAAATCTCTACGCTTCTTGGAACAAAATATTATTTTCACTACAAGCCTTTATTTAATTAGCATTTTGTTACTGAGTTATAGGTTTTACGGTCGTATCACATGACACTCCAATTCTCTACGAAGGAAACACGATATCAAGTATTGTATGGTTCATATGTCATGCTACTCATGGATAAAGATCAATCTTCTCCACCTCTTACAGATAAATATCACAAACTAAACAATTCTTTTGCTGAGAGATACTAAAAATTCTGGAGAATCTGAATTAAAGTGGTGCATTCCCTACCTACGTGTCAACCCAAAAAGAGGTGTGGAGACCATAACCAACTTTCGTACAAATACTGTTCTTAAACCAATTAGAACTTCATTTGCTTTTCAAAGAGAATAAATTTTGAATTTGTGTTCAAAAGAGGATGTCAGTTATTTCTGACCTCATCACTTATATAGCCCAAAACCTAAGTTCTAAAACATAACTGAAACACAAACTTAAACAAAGTATAAGAAAAACTAGAAGAAGAAAAATGCAAAATCTAGAACAAAATTCACTCAGCATAAAATTCACGAATCCACACCTCTTTTTGGGTATGTCAAATCTGGTATGCATTAATTTAATGGAGTAATACTTGTAGATTTAGTTATCAAACTCTGGAAACATCTTTTTACAGAGTTAAGTTACAAACTTACAATAGAAATACATAAATATGACAAAGAGGAGGAAAGGGAAAATGATCTCTTAGTAACTTGCATTACAAATTAATAAAATAAAAAGTTTGAGTTCAAAATTTGCAGCATGAAAATATTTGCTTTATCATAAGATTGTTGTAAATCAGAAAAGATCACTATTCAATATATCATTAAAATGCCAGTAAATCTGAAACCTCTAATGTAATAATGTCTTTATACCTTAAACCTCTCTTATACAACGCCGGAGTTAAACACGTGTAGGCCTAATAAAGTATTGTAATGCCCCTTCTCAATTTCTTCTTCCTTTACTTGATGAAGAATAAGTGTCTCAATAATCAAGTCTTCCTAATAAATACCATCAATTACCACTCCTCTTCTCTTCTTTCTTTTCTCATTGCAAGTGCTATCTAAAATGCCAAGAGCTACAGTTTCATCAAGATCAGCATTTAATGGATGAGTTATTCTTTTTATCCGCTTCCTTGCAGCATCAATCCTCTCTCGCCTTATTTTACATTTCAATTGACCATTAACAAATTATGGTGGCATGATTTCCGCCTCTATATCCTTCTCTAGTAAATTTCTCAGTATAAGGTTTCTGCTCAGTTCTGATTCTCAATCC